ATTGGGGATCTCATCATTGAACATTGTATAAAACTAGAAGCCTTTATGCTGGGTTTGCTATTTGTTACCTCTCCTGTGATTTAGCTCTTCTAGATCATGCTTTTAGCCACTAACTTCTCAGACTGTTAGCCCATGTTTGTATTAGGTAAAGATTCATCGGTGAATACATTTTGACCTTGTTCTACAGCTACCAGCTAGGCAGCTACATGATGCCACTATTCTTTTATCTCTTGGCTTGTTACTGATGTTGAGAAGGATATAATTTTATGTTTACTAATCCATGTTCACATCTCACTTGAGGTGGCCTCTTAAGGCATTGACCTTATAGATAGTAAGAACTAGCAGTCTACTGTGTATATCTGTGGTTTGATTTAGACTTTTTTTTTTCTTTTAACAGATTGAAGACAAACTTTATATTTACCTGGAGTATGTATCTGGTGGTTCCATACATAAACTTCTTCAGGAGTATGGTCAGTTTGGTGAGCCAGCAATTCGGAGTTATACACAGCAAATTCTCTCAGGACTAGCATATTTGCATGCTAAGAATACAGTCCATAGGTATGATTAATATTTGCTTATTCATTTTAGTGATCGATTTAATTTCATGAACGAAAGAAAGTGATGTTACAATCGTAGATTACCTTTCTGCTTCTGATATAGTGGTCGTTACTGTTCAGGGACATTAAAGGTGCAAATATATTGGTAGATCCAAATGGCCGTGTTAAGCTGGCAGATTTTGGGATGGCAAAACATGTAAGATTTTAACATTATTAACTTGAAGCAAACATCATTTAAGTAATTACGATTTTGTAGTTATATGATAATATTCGATATTTAGCTCACTTATGCATGTTCTCTTTTCATGGAAGTTTATGTAATCGACATGCAAAACTCTAAAATGCTTTTAGCAATTTTTGTTTAGCTTATATCAAATGAAATATAGAGATGAATGCTAGATATTCCTATTTTCCTGTTTGATTTTTTATGCTAAATAGATTTAGTGATATTTTCACTTGACACATGTCTGCTTCCAACAACCTAAGGAAAAACTTGCTTGGTCATTTAAATTGGTGCTGCATGACTCTTTGAAGTGTTTATTTTTGACAATGATACCATTTTGTGGAAAGTGGCCCCATAACTTTGTCTTACTGCATCTTAGCTGCATATTACTTTCAGTATCAGCAGCAGTAGCAGCTAATTGTGTTCTTTTACATGATTTATAGGATGTTTTATGTGGAGAATCACCATTCCAAATGCAAATATTCCTAATATCCATTAGATTGACATGTCATTTGTACCATTTATTTTATTGTCTGATGTTGTTACCATAAGATGAAAGCAAGAGATAGTGTGAGGAATTCATGTCTAGTGTGATTATCACAGCTATAGTGCCCTGAATGTGAATGATGTATCTCTAGACATCAATCTATGCTAAAAAATAATGCTTATTACATTGTAAATTAAACTGTCTGTGCACCTTGTGCAACCATATCTTCATTGGGAAGTATAGTTATGCAGACTGTAAATTAAGAATCAGGATCAACCTAAGATGTCATGCCAGTTTGGGGCATGTTCTTCCCCATACTTGTAGTGCATTCCAGCATTCCATGGATAAATATGATTGGTATCAAAATTTCCAGTATTTTGTTTAAACTACTCTTCTGATATCTTGAAAATTCTTTCATGTCATAGTTCAAAGTTATTCTATATGGAATTGAGTTTTGAAAATGCTGAAAGAAGTATATTATTTACTTACTGAACATTATACTATCTCTTAATGTTTTATTTCTTCTAAGATTACTGGACAATCATGTCCGCTATCATTCAAGGGAAGTCCTTACTGGATGGCTCCTGAGGTATGTTATACTCTACAAGTGGTTCTTTTACCTTTCATATTTGATTTGCCAAGCGGATGCCTCTAGTGTTGATTCCTGACTTCGTGCGGTTAGGTCATCAAGAATTTGAATGGATGTAATCTTGCTGTCGATATTTGGAGCCTAGGGTGTACTGTTTTGGAAATGGCTACATCAAAACCACCTTGGAGCCAGTATGAAGGGGTTGGTACTTGGATCTTTCGAGCTTAAGATATATAGTTACTGATGAGACATTCAAGCAGGATCAACAACTCTAATCATCATTTGGTTTTATGTATTAGTAGTCATATCTACCGAGCATATGTACAGTAATAGTATGAAGTATGAACATATGTTTTAGGCAGGATACTCATCTTTTATAATCATTTGCTTTTATCTATGGAACACACATCTTAGTACATGTCTGAAAATTTGTGGTGGTAAATCAAGTGAATTCATAACTTAATAATCTTTCTCTTCGTGCCGGTTGCTGGACTTTATATTAGTTGAATTCATGTACTATGGGACCTCAGTTTATATTAGTTGATTTTTCTGTTGTTGCAAATGATATTATTATTATATATAAGAATCAGACATACTTAAAAGTTTTTGCTTTAAGTCTAGGGAGGGTCAATTTATGCAGAAATACCCCAGCAGGCAAAGAAGTTTCCTCATTAGGCATCTCCTAATAGAGAATTTTTTTTTTTTTTTGTTCGTAGCATGGTGAGTCTTAAATAGTAGCAGTTCCATAGAAGTCTCAAATAATAGCATTTCTCGTTGTGGTTTCTGTGCTTACAATTAAAATAGAGTTGGATGTAGTTGCTTCCTTTATCTTCTTTACCCAATATTGTTTTCTTCCAAAATGCAGAGGGTAACTTTGCTTAGTGAGATATTCATTTAATAAAATATGGAACTATCACATTTGGTGTATGTAGCTTCATCATCAGAATTGTTGAGATGCTTGTCCACATGAATAACTCATCCTAAAATACATGAAAGTCTCCACATAATGGAGTATGATAGAATTCTTGGATCTTTAAGGTGCCAGAACACTGTAGAAACCTTTGGAACATCTTTTAGCTTCTTATGGGGTGCTCTGCAACTCTGCAACTGATAAGCTGTGGGCATACTTCTAATGTGGACTTTAGATCCTTTGTCTCTCTCAATATGTCAATTTTTTAGAGAGCTTTTGATAGTAAACTTACCAAGAGAACTTTATTAATGACATAACAACGTTCACTGGTAATTGTATTATGCTGGTGACAAATATTTGTTAGTCCTTTCCCCAACATGTTCTTGAGGTAATAGCTGTTTTGGTTGTTTGATCAACACGTTATCACCTTTAACATATCTCACCTGATTGCACCAGCCCGCTCATGCGAACCCAGTCAGCCAGTGACAGAACATGATGTTAACTTATTTTATGAGATGGCCTCTGCATTTATTTCACTTGGGAACTGAAGTTACAAGATGAGTTGCACATATATAAGCTACCTACATATTGAATTTCATACAAGAAGAAACTGAACATTTATAAAGCATAGTCATGTCAGTGCTTCTGTCTTGGCGATTGTAATCTTTGAGAAACTTACATGTCACCTGGTGGCACTAGATTGCAGCAATGTTCAAAATTGGAAACAGTAAGGAGCTTCCAACAATCCCTGATCACCTATCTGATGATGGCAAGGATTTCATAAGGCGTTGTCTTCAGCGTGAGCCATCCAAACGTCCTACTGCAGCTGAGCTTTTACAACACCCATTTGTGAAAAATGCAGCTTCTCTGGAGAAATCTGTTATTAATTCTGAACCTTTAGATTTGTCAAGTGGTGTTTTAGGTGGAGCAAATACTAAGGTATGAATATACGCTGCCCTTCATGTGCTCCATTACATCTATTAATGTCTTTGCGAGTTGGAAATAATGGCTTTGATGCGTGTAAGGTTTGGCTTCACTGAAGTTGCATAAGTTTGTTAGCTGTCTCTTGCTATGTGAGATTGATGATTTATATATATGCAGATGCAGTGATTTAAATAGGCGCTCAGGCGAGGCGAGGCCCGAGCACCTTGTGTGTGGACCAGGCGGTGTGCTTCAATGAGGCACTGCCTGGGCGCTCACTCGAACCTAGGCGCCGGGCGCTTTGGGCAAGCGCTCGGTTCAAATAAGGCAACCGAACTAGACTTTTAAGTCTGGTTTGGTTCAAAAATAGTTAGTAATGCAGTTTCTTATCCTCAAAAGCCACCTTCATGCCCGCTCGACCCTGAGCCAACCCTAGCACTGGTTCTGCCTCCGCCGTAGACGCAATAGACCGAGCCTTGCTCTGCCATCGACGGACGGGTCCGACGGCCTAGCAAGAGCCCGTAGCTTCCTTCCGCTGTTGCTCGATGTGCAGTTCCTTCCATTGTCGAGAGAGAGGACCGCAGGTTCCTCCGCCACTGATGGACGCCCTCTGGAGCTTCTACCGCTACTGCTGCTGTTGTCCACAGCTTCCACCGCTGCCACTATTGCTGCCCGTAGCTTCTACCGCTACCGTTGCTGCTGTTCGCAATGTTGCTACGAATGTCTTAAACTAATCCTCCGCCATTGTTGTTGCCAGCTTCTCATCGCTGCCTTCTCACCGCTATTGCTGTCACTTTCCACTGTCGGTTTCCACTGTCAGTGACCCTTTTATACCCCTCTGTTACTATTAACAGTTTTTTTCTCCCCCTCTAACTATGGTTAATAGTAAGTAATATATTGTTAATAGTAGATTTTTAATTTAATGTCATATTTTATTTAAATAATCTTTTAATTATATTATATTTTTTTTTATATTTTAATATTTCAGAACGTCTTGCTTCGTTCGGATGAGCGCTTAGCGCCTCGGGTGTTTTGGGATCTTGGTGCCTTTTGGCACCTAACGCTTTTTAAATCACTGTGCTGATGGTAGTTGTCATCTGGTGGAGGTGAAGAACTTGTTTGTAATTTATTTTCTTCAAGATTCGTTTTTGGAATTGACCCTTGTTTTAGCTGCTCTTCCCTGGACTTCTCATCTCTTAGGATTTATGTACATTTTTGAAGCACATCCAACCAACCTACTCTATTATGACCATGCTTTTGGTATATTTCGAAAGAAAAAGGAAAGCAAGATGTTGGGAAACTATTTATCAATTGTTTGTAATTTATTTTCTTCAAGATTCAATTTTGGAACTGACCCTTGCTTTAGCTGTTCTTCCCTGGACTTTTCATCTCTTAGGATTTAGGTACATTGTTGAAACACATCCTGGTTGGGTCAACTGACTCTATTATGATCATGCTTTTGGTGTCTTTCAAAAGAAAAAGAAAAGCAAGATATATGGTTGGGAAACTGTGATTGAAACCATTTTGTCTTATTGAATTGCCCATGTTAGTTAGTCTCATCCCACATGGTTTGCTAGGTCGGATTATCGTTTGTCTCAGTCTCATGCTTTCCTTTTCCCTTAACAATTTCTGAGCTCTTGGCGTGCAATCAATGTTGGAAGTAGGAACGGGAGTAATAGTGACCTGAGACTTACCCTAATTGGCTTTCTCTGTCTGAGGCTGACCAAACATCACAAACCTCTATCTCATCTCCCACCAATTTCCTCCCAAACATCAAATCATTTCTCCATGAATCATTGCAAAATTGGGGTTTCAATGTTCAATTGAACTTTGATCTTCTGCCTATAAATCAGGACAAAGTACAGTATGTTTTCCACATGGGTTATCACATTAGATGGATGAAGTTGATTATTTAGTTCTTTTAAAAACTCTAAAAAGAAAATTGTTGCATGGGGGATACAAAGTAGGCCTTTGACTTTTTAAGCTAAAAAAAGAAAACACACATTTAGGGACAGTTACATGGACATTTGTCCCATTGAGCTCTATTCAGTAGAATTTGGAGCCAATTATTTTATTGTGTTTCTTAATGTATGTCGCTGTGTATAGGAGAGCTGTGTTACCTAGCCAAATGAGTTTTGATTGAGCATTTCGATAAAGAAAAGCTGGGGTGTGACTGTGTGAGACTTTTATGAATTGGAGAAACAAATAAATAGAACTAGAATGCACTTGTTTCAAATGTCTTTTTCCTTTCATTTCTTTTTGCTTTTATTCCCTTTTCTTCTATTATCATCATTGCTTTTTAGTTGAATTTTTATTCAAGCAGAAATGTTTACAAGATACTATTTTCCTAGTTTTAAGATCTGATGATGTCAATGATACAAAAGGAGTAGATGCCAGATCTTAAAAGGGCAGCTTGCAGTTCTACAGAGACTCATATATCCTCCCCCATCTAGTGTGTCAAATATGCCATGAATGCATATGCATAAGATGGAAAATACCAAACTCTTCTATTATAGATTTTGCTGAGCCTGCTTGCTGTTGGACACTCCCAAATTGAACAGAATGTACAACCACCATGATGATGTGAAAAGTGATGTTTGGTACTTGCTACCATGATTCTAAGAGTTTTACATGTAACTACCAATTTCTTGAATGTTGATTACATCAGTATTTAAATATCATATATCTGCTAAAATTTAGAGCTGCCTGTACCTCTATAGTTGCAAGCTTCCTGTGGCTTTACAGGCTATATACTCCGCCTTTCAGGAGCAATTAGGTTTATTTATGGTTCATTGTTCCAACAGGGGACTATGCACCAAATTGATAGGTTTTACCAAATTTGTATGTTACTGGATTTAAACATTTTCAGTTAGACTAACCTGGGAGATCCCTTTAAGAGCTGATAATATGTCCACATTTGTTGCATGCAACAAAAAATTCATCTGATTACTATTACATAATTATTTTTTATATCTTTCTTTGGGTAGCAATGAGAGGATTCAATCATTATGAATCTTGGATTTAGGTCCTGTTATATGATTTTCATGGGTTGTAATAATGGAATTGTTTTGCGTTGGATTTGTAGAATATAATTTTATTCTCCATATTGTTTCTGTTCTTGCTCCATTTTGCATCTGCTTTGATCTTAAATGATTCTCGGAAACCTTCTCAAGTTTTCTCTACCAATCTTCATGAAGTTATTATTAAAATTCCAGACTGTTGGCCATGCAAGAAATTTGTCTTCTCTGGACATGGAAGGAACGTCAATACATCGTATAAGAGCTGGAATATCTACCATAGCAATGAGGTAAATTGCTTTTTTTGCTCTGTTTTGGCCTTCTTTATTAACTTAAAAGACAAATAAATTTGTCCATGCACTTTTCTTCTTGTTCTTTTCTGTTTGTTCTTATAAAGAGATCTTCCAGACAGGAAATAAGATGTAAAATTAATTTCAGTTTCTAAAAGCATTCCCTGTATGTTTTTGCGGCACTACCAGAACTAAATGCAAAAAAGGGTTTTGGTTGAATTTATAAATTAATAATTCTAGTGCAATCTGAATATTGTTGTAGCTTCTCAAGGTGAAAGTTTTCACTTGATTGTAAAAGAGCTGACATGCTTCATTTTTTTTTGCATTTTATTCCTGGTTAAAGTTGTTGACATTTTTGCCTCAGATTAAATCGTATTGTGAAGGAAACCAATGATTGTTGCTTAAATTAAAAATATATTGTTAACAATATATTACTTAAAGTTAGAGAGAGGAGAAAAAAACCTTAATAGTAACAAAGGGAGATAGCAGTAGCGACGGAGGATTAGTTTAAGATAGTTGCGACAGTGTTGAGAACGACAGCAGTGGCAGCGGGGGAAGTTGTGGACAGTAGTAGCAACAGCGAAGGAAGCTGTGGACAGTACCAGTGACAGCGGCGAAAGCTGCGGACAGTAGCAGTCGTAATGGCGGAAGCTGCAGATAGCAGTAGTGGCAGTAACGGAAGCTCCAGAGGGCGTCCGTCGGTGGCGGAGGAACCTAGGGTCCTCTCCCTCGACAGTGGAAGGAAGCGACAGCAGAAGCTACGGGGGTCGTCGGACTCGTCCGTCGACAACAGAGGAAGGCTCGGTCCACTACGTTTGCGGCGAAGATAGTGGCAGAAAGTGTCGGTAGCGGAGGTAGAAGCAGCGCTAGGGTTCCTCGAGGTCGCACGGGTGTGAAGCGTGGCTTTTGAGGTAAGAAACTACGAACCGAACCAGCCTTAAACCGGTTCGGTTCACCTAATTGAATCGGGCGCTTGCCCGAAGTGCCCAGCGCTGGCGTTCGGGCGAGCTCACCCAGGCGGCGCCTCATTGAGGCGCGTCGCTTGGTGCATACACGAGGCGCTTGGGCCTCGCCTCGCGCCTGAGCGCCTATTTAAATCCCTGGTTCTGATATGCTTTTGATACCAATTTTTTAGTAGCAATGAGGATAGTCCGTTGATTGCACATGTCTACAACAACAACAACGAAACTGTATTGTCCCAAGTATTTGGTGTCAGCTTTTTATTGTCATTGAGCTATGTTTTGCGAGGATGACATGATGTTTCTTTTTAAGCTAAAGGAAATGCACTGCTTTTTAATCATGTCAAATAATGATTTTGTTTATGCTTTTTTTCACATGCTAATTCCTGAAGTTGTGCAATCTATCCAGGAATCATATGTTGTCTTTTTGGGACTTCAGAATCCTTGTTTAATCTGATGCTTTTTCATTGTGTTTGATACGATTGTGTTATTGTCACCATTACCTCTTTTGAGAAATTTGTTAATGAACTTATATATGATTGGTGAAACTAAATTGAGATCTGACTATTAGCACATGCTGTCTTTGCAGAATTTCAGAAAGTTCTTCAGTCTTATGCTTTTATTTTTTTCCCTATAGCTAAAGAATTATTATTTTGATTACCTATTTTGTGAACTTTGGTAATCAGCTAATTTATGAATGGAAAAATTAGATTGAGATATGACTGTTTTTTGCACTTCAGAGCACTGCTTTTGCATAGGTCACATGAGGTTTGTTTTCAGGGCTAAAATTATAGTTTTGGGTTTTATTTTCAAATTTACAGCTCTCTGCACCAAACATCTTGTCTGATTATTTAAAAACATTCTTGGTTTAATCTTATGGTTGTCATTTTATTTGCTCTGAATGTGTTATTATCCCCAAGACTCTTTTTGAGAAATCTGTTAATAACTAATATATGATTGGTGAAACTAAATTGAGATCTGACATTCTGACTTGTGGCATATGTTGTCTTCACAGAATTTCAGAAAGTTCAGTCAATCTTATGCTTTTCATTTTTTTTCCCTACAACTAAAGAATTATTATTTTGATTCCTATTTGGTGAAATTTGGTAATCAGCTAATTTATGAATGGAGAAATTAGATTGAGATATGACTATTTTTTGCACTTTAGAGCACTGGTTTAGCATAAATTACATGAGGTTTGTTTTCAGGGCTGAAAGTAATAGTTTAGGGATTTTTTCAAATTTACAGCTCTCTGCACCAAACATCTTGTCTGGTTATTTAAAAATATTCTTGGTATTTATCATGATTTTCTTGTGTATTTTCTAAGTAAATAAGATAACTCTTCAGATTCCTTTTTCTTTCTTCTGATTGCAGCGATGCCCGTGCAAGGTACATATCTTGTCCAGTCTCTCCAATTGGAAGCCCTCTATTGAGTTCCAGATCTCCACAGCATATCAACGGAAGGATGTCCCCTTCTCCAATTTCAAGTCCTAGAACTGCCTCAGGTGCATCCACACCTCTGACAGGTGGCTATGGTGCCATTCCATTTGGTCAATCAAAACAGGGAGCTCGTGATCATGATGGATCCACTTGCTTATCAAAATGTACAAATGATATCTGTGCTAGTGGGATCATCTACCATGAATCAAAACTCAATTATTTACCTGGAACACAGCAAGGCTCACCAAAAATTTGGGAAAGAATGGCATCTGAAGCTGACATTCTCAGCTCACAGTTTGGCAGGTTCAGACACGGTAATCTTTGGGATCCTTATGAGAAGCAACCTATGCTGTCTGATATGCCTCTTCAGGTCTTGAGAGATCAAATTAAGTTTGGGCCAACACAAAATCTTAGTTCTGGTCCTTCAATTCCTAACCATGCGAATGCTAGTTGACTTACAGGATTAGTCAGCCAGATTATGTTTGTTTTTTGGTTGGTTCTGGCATGGTTATATCATCCCCAACGACATAAAAAAAAACTAATTTTATATGGTAAATAATGGAAGTTGCAACTGTACAATCATTCTTTGTTCATTGGAGATATAAGAAGTGGATGCAAGTTTCTCATGTGCAAGGTCCATCGAGTTTTATGCTGGTAAGTAGACTTTTGTTTTGCTGCAAAATGAT